ATACTTGTACGCAACAGCCACACAACCCATATGAACAAATTGGATCGAGTGCAGCAACAACAAAAATTAGCCATAAATAAAATATAAAAGAAAAGAAAAATGAAAAGAAAAACGACGAAATGTGCGAAATGCCGCACCAAATCAAAATGGGAAGAGAGATGATTATGTATTAAACGTTATACAAAATATTGCCTTATACTTAAAAATGAAAATGAAATTGAAAATGAAAGATAATTATGTAGCTAAACAAATGCAAGAAATTTCGAAAATTTACTAAAATTTTATAGAGCCTAGAAGAGTAACGGAAGAGAAGAACATAAATTGATAAATTTAAATATGATATTTGTGCTTAAATTAAATGCACGCCAAATTGTAAAAATATTTATTATTTATAATTGCATTTTAACGCTAAACAAAACAAAACAAAAGAACAACAAAAATACTGTACCAATTGTAACTATTGTTGCCAAGCTATATGTTTATTTATTTATTTTAAGTTTAACCCACAAACACACAACAAAAGCAAGAATGCGAGCAAATGTTCCCTAACCGCCCTTTTTTTTGTTATTTTGTTGTTTTCAACCCTATTTGCATTGAAACAAACTTTTATGTTTAATGCTCATCTAAATACTGTATGTATGTTATTTAACAAACGTACACACACACACACACACACACACACACACACGTCCTAGCAATTGAATTGTTTAGTTTTATTATTTTTTGTATTATACAATAATAAAAAAACAAGTTACACACCAGCACCTTGCGAAAACTAAATGTACTTGCATAGTCCTTTCTATGTATAGTACGTATAACAATTTATGAAAATTAAACAACAACAACAATATGTCAATGTCCTTAACTATTTAATGAAATTAAATCTAAATAAATTAATAATTATAATCAGAATTTTGGTTTTTCTCTTAAGTGGACATACAATTCTACAATGTTCCCGAAACTTTTTACGATGATAATTGATGTGGATTGATGATGGATGGCAATGATTGGTGATGTTTGGGTTTGACTGATAATGATTTATTTTATTATGAGATTGATAGTGACCATTATAAATGGTTACGAAATTAGATACAAATAATTTTGCAACTATAACCAAAATCATGGTTCTCAACGATTTTTCATTTTTCACTCAACTTTTAATGCTAATGATTGATTTGGATTGATGATGGTTGATAGTTACCGATGAGAATTGATCATGATTGATTTGAGTTGGTATTGACTGATGATTATTAATTGGTGATAATTTATTACGATATATGACAATTAGTAATGATTGATATTCATTGATGACAGTTAATTATGGTTAAAAATTTAAATACACATACTATAAATTTAAACTTAAAAACATTTTAATTTTCACAGAATGATGATTATTAAATATGCTTGATCAATCAGCTTGATTGATGATTGGCGATAGCTTATCATTCCTTCTGATAATTGATAACGATTGATGATATTTTATTGTAATTTGGAATGGTTATCTAATTGAAGAAATTAAGTTGTTAAGTTGTTTTGAATTTAAAGGTGGCAGGCAATTATTAATTTATGATATTTAAAATGTGTAATATTAATTAATTACTAATAATTGATGAATATTTGCAATAATGCTAATGCTTTATGATGATTGATGATGGTTAGCAATGATTGATGATAGCTATTACAAACTAAGGACTTAAAATCTTGGAATTTGTTCTCGCAAGTGATCAATAGCCTGCACTTCCATGATCAGGTTTATAATCTTAGTATTCACGTCGTCTAGAATCTCTGATAGATCCGGCACTTTTCCCACACAATGCTCCACACACAGCTTTCTGAGGATCTTCCAATGCTTCATTTCCATCAATATCACCTCTTTTTTGTCAGTCAGCATCCTCCTTATGAACAACAGCTGCGAGCTTGGAGACTGGGATTTCAATTCACCCCGATACCGTCGCCAAGTGGATCGTCCTTTCTTCCTTTTCCGCTTCTTGCCAAGCAACCAGTTCGGGGCCACACTTTTCGGTTCGATAGAGCGCCAGTGCCAATGACCAGCCTCACAATGACTGTAGCAGCAGCGCGCATAGTAACCGTAATCCCCCGGAGATCGACAGCTATTGAGGCGTCGCATAGCCCGATATGCACCGATTGCGAAATTCGCAGTGTTCTGAGCTTGTTTTGACGATTCCTTTGCTTGTCTCGGTGGCACGTGAACTCTTTTTGGAGCTGTCTTTAATTGAGATGGGGCATGGAATTTCTCGGCAAAGCTTTTTTGTTCTCTTTCCAATTTCAGGTTCTGTTTCGCTTTATTAGATATCATTTGTGGCGGCTTCAAAATAGGTCGATTTATTTTACGTGCGTACTGGATCGACCTGACCGGCTCAGTTCGTTCCGTTTGTACTCCTTTGGTCACGGTCTTTGATTTTCTTTGGCCTTTCTTATCTTTGTAAGCGTTGGTGTTATGTCCCAATATAGTTTTTTCTTTTTCAAACATACAGACTGTATTCTCCGATTCTCCGCCTAATGGAAAATAGCAGGACATACGACGTTGATTTGTTTGACTTACTTGGGGAGCCCTTTTCTCTCGAGATTTGGAAGCAAAACGATCTTCTTCCCATTCCATAAATTTATGCCTTAAAGGACTATCTTCCGTGCACGTGCCGGTCTGCACTCTATCAAAATTATTAAGTTCTGTGAAATTGCAGTTGGATTCTGAAGGCCTTATGTAAGCAAACGCGTTGCTTTTCTGTCTGTCAGGACTAGATGCCATGTCTCTGGAAAAGTTATTTGTCGAAGAACGATGGATGTCTGGTATGGGTCGTATGCCTATAGCGTAAAATCGTTTATCATTCAAAGCTGGTCTCATCTTTACAGAGGACATCTGTCTTTCAACTTTTTGATTTTTCGACCATTGTTTGATCTCTGGCCTTACAACATCAGGATTTTCAGACTCTGGAGGTAGCGTAGGCTTGTGAATACAGTTTTTTTCCTTTTGTCTCTGAAATGTGTCTCTTTCTGTTGGATTTTTAACATGACGTCTTGATAATTTTAACCGAACCCCTTTAAAGTGCTTTTTGCCACCTGGTAGCAATTTCTTGTAGCCCCCATGTGAGTCATAGCTATAATCAGAAGAATCTAACGCCTTTTCAGTGACATTAACTCTGCTTTCACAGCTACCTGCACCATGCGCTTCCGCATCTGGCTTATCTCTTCCTTCTTCGATGATTGGATATTTCACTTTTTTGGTCCAAGCTGGTTTTGTTGCATACCTCGGAGTGAATTGAGATAACTGAGATGGAAGTGGCATTAAAGACTTCTCGGTTGTCTCTGCTGGAGATTCTGCTGCCGTTTCAGGTATGAGAACATATTCCAGGTGTGTCGGTTCCTTTTGCTCAGTTCGATCTTCAAACTGCGGCTGTGGATTTTGAGATCCTAAGCCCGAATACTTCTGTTGTGAGGGTAGTGCTTTCGTCACATCAATATTCAACTTTTTGACAGATTCCTTGGGATTAAATGCAACCGTTTCTGAACCTAAAGTTATCGGTTCCAGACGATGCAACACTTCGATGTACTTTTTATATTTATCCGCGCTGGATTCCACATCCTTATTACGTGATGTTGAAAGCGGATTTGAATTTGAAAAGCTATTCTCCGGTAATATCATGAGAGTTCGTTGTTCTTGATTTCGTTTTAGTAGATCATTCCTGTGCATACTATTAGGAGGTCTTGTAGCATCTGGATTGTCCAGCCCCGTTAAATTCGAATCGTATCCTCGTTGAATACTGGTGTGAGTACACTTCTCCATTTTCAAAGTGGCTTCCTTACCGGCCAAAAATTTTTTAAATACTATGTCGTTGCAACTTTCTGGTTTCTTGTATACTATATTTGATCGTAACGCTCTCTTAATAGCTTTTGTTGTTACCGGCAGTCCTATATAACTATCCAATAAAGCATTTAGCTCGCAGGAACAGTTTCGCATATCAGTAAATGGAACTTCCAAATATCCGAACTCACTGAGATGTCCGTACATCAGCAGAATGAGGCTGTTGCGGGCCAGTTTCTGCGATGTGGGGGCACTACAAAGTATGTGAAGCCAATTCATTATAATGAGCTTATCGGAATTGCAGGCACTCTTAAATAATTGGTCATATTTCTGCAATTGCCACTCGAAATGCTGATCCAGCAGATGCTCACTTGGTTCCTGCATCTCGTAACTGTAATGGTTTACTTTTTTTCAAAATATAAGGCAAGTTGAAAAACTATTGGCACGATTTTAGTGGGTTTTAGAGACTTTTTATAAACACAATGTATGTATATATAATACGAGTATATGCAGTTTAATTCATAGGTATACTGACACTAAACTAAAAACTAAACTTACTTAAAAATGAGGCTTTTCAGACAATTTTTGGTGGAACCTTGGCCAAGATTTACTATTAATTCATTTTTAAACTCGTTTCTACTTGCGATTGAATCGAGCTAAATTGTAGTGTAAAAAGGCTAAAAGAAAACATCAACTCGTAAGCGAAGACTATTTGGAATATAACTAATAGTTGAATACTTTTAATTGAATTAAATTATTAATTGAATACTTTTTTGTGATTCATTATTAAATAGCAAATTAAAAATTCTAAGCCAATTTCTTTCCAATTTTTCTAAATCTTTTTGAAGCGATATTATGGCAAATAATTTTGTATGTATGTATAATCAGTATAAAAAGCATCGTTAAATTAATCTTCTTTTTACAATCTTAATCTTAATCTTAAAAAAATTTCGTATTCATAATTTGCATACCCATTCATCTGTCTGTCCATCTTTCTATTCCAATTGCTGAACTTTTCTTGCCAGAAACGACATAAAAACAGTTCTTTATTGTCTTTCGTAGTAAGACACCGTAAAGCAGGTATAGCTTCGCTAAAATCTTAATGTACATATCTATATAAAGTTTACATCTGTTTTTATACCAAAATTTTGAAGTCCTATCAGCACCTTGTTTAAAAATAAAAATTTAAAATTATATTATAGCCCTTGGCTAATAGAAATTTCACCTGGAATTTGCCCCATTAAAAAATAACATGTGCGATCCGAGCGAAAGTGCGTTGGACCGACATTTCGAGTCCCAGGTACGCATTTTAGAAGACATCTACGCGTTGAAAATTCGGGAATCGGACTATGGGATGAGCCAGCGTTGGCTGCAGGTCTTCCAGGAGGCGCCCGGAAGCGAGAAATATGCGCGCAACTGCCTCATGCTCTTGATGTACAGCCAGTTGCGAGAATTAGGTCGCCTAGGTAGGCCCTTCACCGATATGCATAACTTGAGTCGGCAGCTGGAGGACGTGCTCTCCGATTTTGATGGCAAACTGATCGACGAGGATATGGAAACAAATGCCTCCGGCTACGGCAGTGACACGAGTCGGCTCTCAAAGGCCCACAAAGCCATCAGTGAATGTGACGAGTTCAGCAAAAACGTCAGCTCATTGAAAGAGCGTCTAGAGGGCGGAGTGGATGCGACCACCCCTCGAACTACTACGGAAATGGTAATCAAGGGCAATGACGAGTTCAAGCGTCGCACGCAGGAGAACGAGGAGTTGCTCAAGGAGCTTGACAAACTGCACACACGTTCCCTAAAAAATGAGCTGGAGTACAAGTCCAAGGTGACCGAAATGACCGATCTTACCGAGCACAAAAGGACTATCGACAATGTGAGCAAGGAGCGCAGCAATGCTATGGCAATGAGTATATGCCGCAGCACCAATGAAGCCATTGAGCGTATCAAACTATGGACTGGTGGCAACGACCACTTGGATTTTCTAGCCACTGCTCTCCGATACTTTTCGGCTGATGATCCCCAACTGCAGGCGCAGCTGGAAAAACTGGACCGCAAACTGGAGTACCAGCTGGAAAATATTCAGGAGCAGGCCTGTGAGAGGCGCGAGAAGAATGTTCGCATCATATACGATCAGGTGTTCCGAGAGCAGCGGGATGCCCAGAAGCAAAAGGATGAGCAATTCATGAGCGAGCGCCAGGCATGGGCTCTTGAACGTCAGCAGCTCCAGCAGCTGCTGTGGAAGCGCGATCAGCGGCATCAGCAACTAGCCCAAGAACAACTTATGGTTATTGGGACTTCAATTCCACGAAATCCCCAGCTTTTCGGGTGTCAGTGCGAATGCGAGCAACAATCCTTCCCAAATTGTTTCTACAGGCAATCATCGCCGGATCCGAACAACTGCGCCCAATGCCAAATCGAGAGACAACAACAAAAGCTGCGTGCTGATGGAAAATTGCGGAAAAATTTCCTCGAAAGCTGCGACTGCAACTATAATAAGCCAAGGTCGGAGCTAAACAAGGGCCAGTTGCAGAAAAAATCACCCAAGTGGTAAACGAAATCGCAGAATGTGCAGAAAAAAAAACAAATTGATCTTTAATATATATTTTCTAGTTTGGGTTCTCACGTTAAAATTTTGAATAAAGAGCATTCTTCAGGTTACTAAAACCAAATTAATCTTTTAAAAACGAAACATGATTTGGCTTAGATAAACGGCCATTTATTATTCTTCACATTAGTAGTCACATATTATTTGTATTAGCATTTCATGCTGATGTTACAACTTTTCGTTAAAATGTCGCTTCGCAAACGTTTCCCCCACAATGAGGGGAAACACTAGAGTGGCCTCGGCATACACTTTCACGGGCGTTGCGTCCTTGCGGATTTTGCCCCATGATATGGCCTCATCGGGCCGAGCTCCACTGTCGCTGCCATCGAACTCGGACGCAGTATTGATGAACACTGAATAATCAGCACCATTGCGCATTAAGTTGGCATTGCAAATATGATGCTTAATCACTCCACCGCCCACAATAATCATTCCACTGTTTACAGCTTTGACGGCCATAGTATTTAATCGCCGTAGATCGGAGAGTATGTCGACGACAAGTCCGGGCTGGCGAAATGAATGGAAATACATCATATCACCAAGACTGCCATCGGTGAGTGCGGGACAGAAAACGGGAATCTTGTTTTTTGCCGCCCAATAATATATTGAGCTAGGATCGGCGATGCGTTCCCCTAACCTGTGTATTATACGCGATGGCGACCAGACTGTATTCTTTTCACGCTGATCCACCAGCATCTCATCTAGGAGCGGCATAAGCCAGTCCTCGAATTTACAGTAGTTGTCGTTCGGCACAAGCAAGTTTCCAATACGATTTATCCCACGCTCTCGCAAATCTCGTCCACTTAGCTCAAATGACCCCATATATGTGGGTGCCAGGCACTTAATGAAATCCTCTTCCACGCCGCCCGCAGTTGTGACAATGCAGTCGACCATGCGATGCTCAGCCAGGAAGCGCAACGTCTCCCGCATGCCCGAAGAAACCAGATTGGATGTGTAGCCCAAGAAGATGGTGCAGTTGCTCCGTCTTTTGATAAACTCATCTGTCTCGTGTATGTCCTGTTTCTCATCATCCAGCGGCTGTGCCCTGCAATCCAACTGTCAATATTTAGTCCAATCGATCAATATTTAATAGGCATAACACAACTTACCATTTTGTTTATTTCCTTTATAGCCAGGCCAAGATTTGTGGCCTGAAAGCCTGTGTTAACATAAGACTCGAAAAGCTTACTGTAGTCAATGCCCTGATTAAAATCATAGCCCTGCACCTGTGGAGTGCCCTCGGCTATGCGCTCGCTGCGCTTCAGTACTGCATCCTTAGCTATTTCCGGCTCTGATGACATTTTAAATATGTAAATATAACGAAATACTCAATTCTCCATCAGCATGTGAAAGTCGTCAGGGCTGCACATGGAAGTTTCGAAAGTATCGCATTAGTAACACTAATGGCGTAATTGCGTTATCCAACACTGTGTGCGTTTGCATCAAATGACAGAAGCAGCAGCAAACAAGAGAAAAGAATAGGAAGTCGAAAGTCTTTGATACGAAATCAAAGCCAAATTTAAGTTGGAACTATTTTATTTGGAGTATCCACCAACATTTTGAAATAACTGAAAGCAGTGTGTGTTTAAATTCAACGAACAGTTGCACACGCAGCAAAATCATCGCAAACCTTTACCGCTCAGTCACAGGCAAGCTTGACAGAGACATCGAGAACCAGGAAGACGTCGACGACGCTAGCACAGACAGCCAACAAATATAGCAAAATGATTAAACTTTTCTCGCTTAAGCAACAAAAGAAAGAAGGCGAACAAAGTGCGCGCGGTGGCCAACAAAAAAAGGCATCTGCTGCTCAGCTGCGCATACAAAAAGGTGAGTGAAGGCCTCGCGCGCGATTGACCCTGAATTAGTTTTGTTTATGTGCATTTGCATAATATAATAACGCACCGCTGACCATTTTCCATTGCAGATATTAATGAATTAAACCTGCCAAAAACTTGCGCCACTGAGTTTCCGGATCCTGATGATTTGCTCAACTTTAAGTTGATCATATGTCCAGATGAAGGCTTCTACAGAGATGGTCGCTTCATATTCAACTTCCGCGTAGGTTCCAACTATCCACACGAGCCGCCAAAAGTGAAGTGTGCCACACAAGTCTACCATCCTAACATCGATTTGGAAGGCAATGTTTGCTTGAATATATTGCGTGAGGACTGGAATCCGGTGCTGACCATTAGTTCGATTGTATATGGATTACAGTTTCTTTTCTTGGTACGTAACTTACCCATTCAAATTAAATGAGTTTATCTAATGCAATATTATGAAATGTTGCTCACAGGAACCCAATCCGGAAGACCCGCTCAATAAGGAGGCTGCGGATGTACTACAATGCAATCGTCGTCAGTTCGAGGTTAACGTAAAGAAGGCAATGCGCGGCGGCTATGTGGGCGAGACCTACTTTGAATGCTGCCTCATCAAGTGATATAGGAAATCAAAAGTCTTTAATTTAAGGAACGGCATCTACCTGCTTGCCTTGATTTTAGGTTATAGCGGTTGTCGCACTTTGATTAGTTTTAATTACTTGATATGTTAACGCAGACAAGCAAGCATAACAATAACACCACCATTCACATATGATAGCGAGTCTAGCGTTCGGCAGCCGGGCAGAATGATGAAAACACCTTCAGCAACATCCAGGATTAATGAATAAAATTACTGTAATAAACACAACTGCGACCTATAAAAAGCGAATAATGCCACCACCAATTAATTACAATTATTTCTACATTTAATATATATATATATTTTTTATTTGAACCCTACTAGCAATTGTGTAAGCTGCTAATTCTATTCTAATTCACAAGTGTATGCTATGCCGGTTGAGCTGAATGTTGCGCCAGAGGCAGAGATCGGAGACCGCTAACTGCCGACCACTATGCACACGCAATTCATAAAGACGACTAATGAGACCCACTCGTATGTCATCAGTAGCCATGACCTTCAGGAGATTCTGCATCAGATTGGGCGGTAGCAGACGCAAAACAGACACCACACGCTCCTCTCCGCACTCTACCAGCAGCGAGATGAACTGATAGACAAATGTGGTCTTTGGCAACAATTCGTCACCACTGACGAACTGCAAAAATACCCGAAATATGTGTTCTATGCTCGACTGCAGCGGTTCCTTGAGAGTGAGCGGTGCGGTGCGTATATCAGCATTGCCAGTATTATTGTTGCCCATGAGTGTAGAGACTCCAACACTTCCTTCCGTGAAATCACTCGAGTTATCTGATCCTTCGCCAATCACCTTTCGCACTTTCGCTGTATTGGACAAATCGTCCTCGTCGTGGGAACGCGAGCGTTTCTTCAGTGCTGCACCACTTACAGCACTGCGAGTCTCCAGGCAGGAAATGATGCAATACACACAGAGACGCGCTAACAACAGCGATTGCGGTTCGTTTATGTCATCTCTGGAAGAACACCATAGATTTCGGATGATAATTGAAATTTAGGGGATAGCAAGAAGGCTGATACTCACCCCTGACGTTTAAGTATTAAGGGCGCCACCACATACTGCAACAGTGCTTCGGTGGTGCGCTCAATGTCCAGATGCATCACAGCAAATACAATATCCGTGATCTTGGTCATGTCTCGCATATATTTACAGCGAAGCAGCTCCTCGACCAATTGGGTAGCCAGCCATGCTGGTCCGCCTGCCAGCAACAGCGACTCCAGCGTCTGCACTGCACGAACTGGCAAATAGCCGACATCGGCCACCACCGTGCGCCAAACATCACGGAATTGCTCGATAAGCGGCGTTTGAGAGATCAAGCCCTGATGCGTGGAGGCGACACACCGAGATTTTGTGTTTGGCGAAGGGTGCACATCCTGTTGCATTTTCCGTATAATTTGAAAGGAGAGCGCCAGGCGCTCCTTGACATTTTCCTGGCTGGACATATCCTCGCTAGTAGGTGGCGCAAGAAATTGCTGTATCATGTTCAGCGGCTTTAAAAGCTCCGTCTCGCTTACAGAATACATGTAGGCGCACAGGAATGAGGTAGCACACACTGAGAAGGAAAACAGCCTCCGCTTTATGTTATCTAATATGCTTTTAACATCGGCTGAGGATAGGGTCTCCTTCTCCCATGCAATGAGCACATGGTGCAGTACTCCAGGCAAATTCAAGCAAATATCTTGCCATGTAAGATTACTGTTGTTGCTCAATTGCGCCGCAGCCGCTTCGGGTTTGCTAAGACTCAAAAGCAACTCGTCAACAATGCTCTCGTCGCAGAGTGCTAAGATGCGTTTGGGATTCTTCAACTTATTGCGCTCCACCATGCACTCGCGCACCCACTTCTCGAAAAAGGAATCGCCACGCTCCGAGAGCACCACCTGAGAAGAAATGAGCGACAAACAGAATTAGTAACATACACATCAAACAAAATTACCCGCTTCGCCTTACATCGGAGCCATAGGTCTGCACAATGGAGGTTAACATCAGAAAGGACACATCAAAGAGTGTGGAACGAATGACTGAGAGTTTTCCCACCTCACCAGGCACTTGCTTGGAATTTTCGTTGCACTGAATCAGACGAGACACAAAGGTTTTGAGGCGACCTTCGACGGTAGCCACTGATAGAATGAGCTCGAAACTGTTGCCCACCAAAACTTGGCACAAGACACTAACGAGCGCTTCCTGCACCTTGTTGGTGCATAAAGTCTTAAGTATTCCAGAGAGCGGCACCTCAGCACGCTTTATAAAGTTGATGTTCGATGGCGTCTGCTGGCCAGATTCATATTTCTTTAAAAGCTGCGAAGACGGTTCTCTGCAAAATTAAACAGTTGCGTTTTTAGTAAATGAAGCTGATTTGAAATTGTTTCCTTTTATATTGTTTTAACTAAACTTACCGTTGGCTAGCGAGTTTCTTGACCTGTTCATCGTTAACCAAATATTGTTTGGTCCAATCGTTAAGGAGAAACTCCATAATATTGCACGAACATTTTGTGTCCATAAAGTCCAACAGCAAGTTGTCCTCGATGAGCATATTGAGCGCCTCCACCACCTCGGGTATGTGGTCAGCCGGCGGAGGCTGGTCGCCTGGCACTCTTTGCAAAGTATGCAGTTGCTTAATGATGTGAGGCACCTTGAAAAACATGAAAGCGCCCCACATTGTATCATGGCTAGTGTCGGCCACGTTGCTGAGTGTGAGGAAGCCAGCGCGTATTATTTCGTAGAAAAGCCGTGTGTTTGAATAGCGCTTCAGACGCTGTAGCATCTGCAGCTCAGCAACATAGTAGGATGTGTCCTTGCCGGGATTAAGCAGAACCTCCACAGCAAGCAGGGGCTGCACACAATACGAAATTGGTTCGCCTTGCAGGTCATTCAGTGGCTGTAGCTCCAGGTGCTTAGCATCGATGTAGGCGAGTTGCTGCAGCTGTTGCTCCGTAGTCGGCAAGCTCGGCGTAAAGTTCGAATTGGCCAGTGAGCCTTTGATAGTCGCATATTTTTCGCGTATCTTACTATAGCTCTCGAGCTCTTCGTGACATCCAACATAGAGAATGGCCAGCAGAAATTGATGTTTTGACAGACGATCAATAACCACACACACTTGATCCAGCATATAGGACTGTTCCGCACTGATGACTCCATATAGTTCGTAATGTTGAACGGTGCGTCCGAAAATTTGGAAAAGCCACAGCACCAATTGTACTACAGCGGTGGGCAGCGACCCCTGCTCAGATTTGCAGCTGTAATAAAAATCAATGAAGATACTCATTTTTAATGCCACCCATTATGCAATATATACTGAAATAGAAAATATCTAATTCCTATATTTTAGTATGTTTAATGTTGATAATGAATAAGTATCTCACCGACAAGTGACGCCATCGATGAGCGGAGCTAGAAACTCCAACAGTGCTGTCACGCAGTAGATACGCTCTAGTTTGTCGTACTTGGCAATGCACCGCAGTACCGCAGCATGAGAGATCAAGTGAGCGCATAGTGAATGTTTTAGATAGTTTAGAACGAGCTGTAAAGAAAGATAATGTCAGCTAACAGTTAACTTTAAAACATCTTTCTCCATATTTACCAGATTAGCTGTGGAACCAATGACTGCCTGTTGCAGCAAACAGTCGGCGAGGTTATAAACATCTCCACTAACACCCCTAGGCAAAACCTGGTAACAAAATTAGAAAATACATACATATATGTATGTATATTTAGATTTATTAAAATCTCTTTTTATTTATTGTCATTTGAATACATTTAAAACAACATTCAGGGCATCATACAGCAAACATATTTATATTTCCGAATAATCTCTATCTATAATAAATAGCATATTTATACTTATCACATTTGAATTTGCAATTCACCATGTTACGGTTAAATTTTCAAAGAATTCACACGTATTTTCTGCGCACCTTAAAACATAGCCATCTGGACGCACGCTATCCAACGTCGATTATTGTCGAACATCCTGCGTCCATCTCATTGTGGAAACGACTTGTCGGTCAGTATCAGTTTCGTACGTCCAAGAGTAGCTACTATCCCGACCGCAAGTCAGAGATGCAGCGTTCTCATGGAAAGGGAAATACACAAACGAGAGCACAAGTTGCAAATGCGACAAAAACAGCTGTGGCAACTCCATTGGATGAACTTGGAAAGAAGGGTCTTCCTAAAGACTTTTACTACAAAGTGCTGGGCGTAACCCGCTATGCGACCTTGCAACAAATACGAACAGCCTTTTATTCACTGGCCAAGCGCTATCATCCGGACTCAACGCACTCCGAACAAAAGCTGAAGCACTTTCAGGAGCTGTCCAATGCCTACAATATACTAACAGACGAGACCAAGCGACTGGAGTACGATCAGTTGGGCGGAATCAAGGACGAGCGTGCATTTCTCGAGCAGGCCGGCAATCCAATGACTACGGATTCAAACTTGAAGTTTGACGCGCAGAAACAAACCAATGAAGGTAAGCATTTGGACAAGCGACATTCACATACAATTTACAATCGTTATGTTCGCTTTCAGAAATCGACAAGATAACAAAACCAGAACTGGAGCTTCCGCTTGCCTTTCTGGAGGCCACAGTTGGCTGCAAGAAACGGCTTGACTTGCGATATCTACGAAAGTGTGACAGCTGCAAGGGCAAGTCACAGCTTATGGCCAATCGAGAAGTGGGCAAGGAGCCGTGTCGGCGCTGCAACGGAACTGGAAAAATCAGTAAGAAGACTTTAACCTACACATCGGTGAACACGTGCACCCACTGCAAAGGCAAACGCTACATCAATCGAAACGACTGCGAGACATGTGATAATCGTGGTTTCGTATTGGCCAATGTCGAGGTGCTGATCAATGTGCCGTCCGGCTCCCAGGATGGAGATGTGATAACCATCGACAATCCCAATACGAAACAGCATGTCAACTATAGACTCAAAGTCCCCAGCAGCGATTATTTCCGACGCATTGGGAACGACGTGCACACTGACAAGTACCTCACTATATCGGAAGCCATATTAGGTGGAAATTTTACTGTACGCGGGCTCTACGAGAACATTGAAGTGCGAGTCGAGCCCGGAACACAATCGCACACGCAACTGTTGCTTAAGAGCAAGGGTGTGCGTTCAAACGGCTGCGTTGGTAATCACATTATAACTCTGAAGGTGCGCATTCCACGCAATCTGTCAATGAAACAACGCCAACTGGTGCTTGCCATGGCAAAGGCGGAAGAGCCGGTCTTTGATTGCCAAAAGGGCAATCAGGAATAAAGATTGCGTTTTTTTTTAAATCGTGTTACAAAAATTCTCAATGTATAAACAACTTACATACATATACATATATATTCAGTTTAAATATACGATTCAAAAACAAACTTTTAGCGCTCAAACAACTTGCCTTTTTTATGTTGATGCCCCATTGTGAGTCCGACCAGCGCTCGCGCCACGCCACATAAATTAGTTGCAGGATCTTGTTGTTCTCCTTCATTGCCAGCCAATCCAGACGAACGCGGCGGTTGGATTTCAAGTTCACGTTGTTGCAATTTCCCAAAATTCGAATATGTTGTTTATTTTCTACCAAGAAAAGAAGCACCGAGCTACCAGCCCCATTCACATCTGTATGTGGGTGTTTATGAGTGAAAACGATACCACATAAAATAGTGTTGTACAACACGACTAACGAGTACTTCAAACGAATCATCGGATACGAGTATAACATTTTCAAAATCATGGCGGTAAAAAATATATGTTTAAAATACATGCATTAAAATAAATACTTCCATGTATGGTTAAATCATATTTAATTTATTGAATACAATAAAGTAGCTGTAAAGTGTGTTACATATTAGGTTCTAAAATGTTTGACTTTGTACAAAATTTTTACGGTATATGCCGAAAATTGTTCCTCAATTGCGCATACTTTTTAAGACATGAAATTTTCACATTCACTCGAATGTTTAAATTTAGATTCTCATTTAAAATGAAATGTGGGGTGCTGAGAGAATTGTTTATGGGTATTTCATATACATACATAAATTCTTGTTTGTGGAAATTTCTTTGAAATGATTTCGGTGGATTTTTGTAGGGACAAATTAACGAAAATAAAAGATGATTTGAAGACGTTATTTATTTAATAAGCGACAGTCAAATCAAATAATAAAAGCAAATCAATCAATATTTCAAATCATAACACAAACATTTTACATTTACCAGCTAACTTAAAACATAATTGTATGACAAAAGCATTTCCCTTATAGCGGCAGAGCCACGAGGAGCTTATAACTAAAAATTTCTTTTCAGGAAGGGAGTCTCGGTGTCTCTTCTCTTGTGTTTTTTGTTGACAGATTATAAAAAACGAGGAAGAATCTTCATTCATAACGTTAAAAGCTATATTAAGTCTAAGACCTATTAATTTATTTACTTATGCTTGACACCTTATCATCTGCATCATCATCATCAGCATTAACTTTTCCGTCAAATTTCAATCACTTTAGCATCGTCGTCCATAGTACTTTGAGGAGTGAGTTCTTGTTGTCGTAGCTTATATTGTTGCCCACACTGGATAGCACCTAAGTGGAGGAGTTTCCCGGTTCATCGCCCTTAACAGCCAAAGCGTAACTTGTTCCAGCATTGGTACCAGTTGAGCTGCCAGGTTTTTCAGCACCGCTCTTCCCGTCACCACCACCGCCAGCATTTGCAACTCCACCAGTGCCACCAGCAGCTCCGCTAACGCCTAAAGTTTGATGCGAATTAACTACAAAATTTGTTACGTTGTTGTGCAACAGTGTTTCGTGAATGTTGTGTGTTTGTGTGCAATTTGCAACTAATAAGCACCTTTAATATCCATGGCATAGTTGTCCTCTAAGCGCAAATCATGCTTCTTAATCAATTGACACTCTGCGCCCTCAATTGAGGGTATAGAATGCACATACAAGTAACCATCCTGCGAGGCAATCAAGAGTCTTCAACAAGCAACAACAAATATTCATTATTCATTAGGATCTGTTAGGTACACATGTATATAATGCGACTTACCTTAGCTGCTTTTGTATTGTGGTAATGGCGCACATGCGTCGCACCCCTGCCTCTGGCAGTGTAACCGATGCAAAAGCGCGCCCCTGGCTGAAAACATCGGTCACCTGCGTAGGCAAATAACTGGTGACCGTTTTGCTCAAGAATCTAAAAAACGAGTAACTTGCATCATGAGAGAGTAAATTATGGGGCATTGTGGTGCGTAGAGTGGTTTTTACAAATGTTTGATTTGGTTTGATTTGTTGGTGGTGGTTGTGGTGGTAGGAAGCGGCGATAGAAAATGGAAGAAAAGAAAAAGAGGTAAATGTTAGGTGCCACAACAACGAAACTAACAAAAACAAAAAATGCAAACGATAGAGAAAAAAACAACAAGAATAACACTTGCTCATATGGATGAGAGAGTAAGTTGCATGGCATGGAATCGTGTACACCCCCACCATACAAACAATCAAAGCAACAGCAATACACATTCGATGTAGTGAACAATTAATTGACTAAAAGGAATATTTAAATCCAACACCACTTACCCCATCCAATCGTCGCTAGATTGTTTTTCAGCTCTGTCCGCATTCTCGGCAGCGGTGCGATCTAAACGGAAGATATGCACAGTTTCCGTGTTAGAGCTAGAGACCAAATATTCGGCACAAGTGCTGAACGAGAGTGACACAATGGACACGCAACGTTTGAGGCCACGTCGCAATTCGAACAGACGGCTTCCGTCCTGCGAGGAAAACACACGAATGACAGTGCCACGTTCACTGGCCGTGGCAATCTCAGTACCCGATGGGCTAAACGCAATAGCTGCAAGTGGCGAGTCATGTGCCGGTATCATGGTTTTCGCGTGCAAATTGATGGCGTCAAAGATCTGAACCTCGCCAGCAGTCACGCTGCCAGGATAGGCAAGATAGCAATGTTCCGATGAGGAGGAGAGTGCACAAAGACCCTGCGGATTGCAGGGCGTATCTCGAATGGTGTGGACGACCTTCATGTCCTGTATATTGTGTATGTAGAGCGATTCCTCGAGACAGACAACCAAGCGCTCCCGATTCAACTTGACAGCCACAATTGTGTTCGCATAGGAGTAATTGCAGATCTCGCTCTGCTTTTTGAAGTGACAGACTTTGAGCTTGCGCGGCGAACGCTGTGACACAATGGCCACAAGTGAGCTTTCAAAAAGACGTTCAATTAAGAAAATCTCATCGGTTGTGGTGTTGTAGATTTTGTCCAATGTGGAATCAACCGAGCCCAAACTATACAGGCTGTAACCGGAACCGGTGGCAACGGCAAGAGAACTGCGAGCAAGCACGTAGAAGAGATTTACAGAATTAGCAAAGAACTTGAATACATTGTAGTAATACCTACGTTATGTTTTGGTTAAAGTTAACAAACACTTCTCCCGCTTCTACGTCGGGTCGCCCCAGCAGGCTCATCATTGTGGTGGTGGTGGCAGCTGCAATCTAATTTCAATGGGATGCTGGCAGGAATGCGTGGTGTTGGAGCTGTAACGAAAGACAATGAAAATTAATGCAATAAATGGGCAACGCACTAAAATTATCAACCACTGCTGTTCACACCTCATCCGTCACATACGCCAAATTTTGTCGCCTTACCAAGAAGCACTTCTTACTTCTCAGAAACAAAGAAGTCTCATGTGCGCTTTTTGCAATTACGTACAACTTTGAAACTCCTGTTGGCCCGCGTGTGTTTTAGTTGCGCATTAAATGAAAACACAAACAAAGCATGGCACATAAAACAATGATGTTATTCGGAACCAAAGCACTGATAAAACCAACAACAACAAACAAAACACACGTACATACAATTGTACGTGAGACCAAAACTGCATTCCATTTTTTATACACTTACTCACCTTAGGAGCTTGTTTCAATTTAAATTCTACAAGCTAAGTACATGAAATAAATAATTATAATTTTCTGTTATTATTTCCCTTAGTATTTGATAAAATTAGCAATTTTCTAATCGCGCAATTGTTTTCGCTCTGTTTTGCACACACACGTATCGCCACACACACACATGCACCTCAGGGCTGAATAATAATGAATAAGTGTTGTATTTTTTCTAGTGTTGATATATCGCAATATCCTCGCTTGCGCGCTAACTTTTAAGTCTCGCTCATTTCCCCGTTCATTTAAGTCACGATTAACAGAATCACATTCTTTCTTTCCCAAAAATTAAACAGAAGAGTTTAAGTTTTACTTTAAAGCTATGTTTCTATTAGAGGCACCAATGTCTGAGTCTGTACATATGCATTTACATATATAATTTTGGACACGCTTATTAAAATACTTTCACAAACAGATTATTTTTTACATTTTATACCAGTAATGCCAAAATGGGTCAATTTCTTCACATAACATAAAACGAAAAAAAAAATAAAAATCGGTCATTTTCATCTGGGTTTATATTTTAATTTTATCAATGTATGCCAAAAAATAAAATAAATACATTCAAATGATTTTATATTAGGAGATAGATTATGTTACTGGATATATCTAACGCTTCTGATCAATTGAAAGATATATGTACATATAGTTCACGCGTTTGCCGCTCGACAATAAGTGGCATCAATTTTCTTTAGTTGTGGTAAAATGTCACACAATTTTGAACGATAACGAATGTCGTTGGCCACTGGATTAAACTCTAAGTAAATGGTTTGAAGCTTCTTATTATCCTTTAACACCTTGATGTTATTCCAGTCATGAACGCCGTTGTGATTTAGCCACAGTTCCTCTAGTTGTTCCATTGCCTCCAAATTACCAATATCTTTAATTCGGTTTTTGGCCAGATCCAATGTCTCCAAGCAGGTAATCGTCGAAAGATTCTCAATCTTTTCGATGCCATTCTCGGACAAGTATAGCTCTGTAAGGTTGACGAGCTTGTCGAGGTTTTCAATTTTGACAATGCGATTTGATTGCAGACTCAGGATCTCCAAATTGACGAGCTCGTCGAGATTCTCAATCTTGGTTATTTTATTTTTGCCCAAAAACAACTGGCGCAGTCCAACGAGTGTTCCCAAATTTTCAATCTTCCTTAGATTGTTATCGCCCAGTTCCAACATGGTAAGGTTAGTCAACATGCCAATATTCTCAATCACGGAAATTTTATTGGCAACTAAATAAAGCTTCTCCAAATTAACAAGCTTCTCCAGATTCTCGATTTTGGTCAAACGGTTAAAACTTATATCCAATATTTCCAGATTAGTTAGGGCCTCTAGGTTTTCAATTTTGGTGATTTGGTTGTCGTAAAGCTCTAGCTCTAACAGGGTTGTAAGCGTCTCCAAATTTTCAATCTTCTTTATTTGATTCCATCGAATATATAGATGCTCGATCTTCCTTAATGGCTCAAAATGTTCCAGTTTCTCTATGCGTCGATGATTCAGATCTAATTCTAAGCAATCCGGATCAATAGTGATTACTTCTTCAATAGAAGCATTATCCCCAGGCGGCGATATAATTTCTATCCCGGCCTTTGCTTTCGGTACAAGGTTTTTTGTTTTTGTGGGTATATTATCGGCGTCACCCATTTCAAAATCTGCGTTACTCTTGTATTTTGCGTAGGGTTTAATGTATATTTCACAATTTTAGAGAGACCTTTAACGCTGTGCCGACTTGCTTGTTTCTTATTCTCCTTTCTTAGCACATTCGTAATAAAAGTGCTGGGAAACGACAATAAGCATACATATGTAGGCAATGAACAGTGATGAACAACATCGATATTTATATAAACACCACGATACACATAAATAGGAATGCACATGCACAGGCAATCCAAAAGTGCTTGTTCAAAAAGCTTTTTAAAAGTGTGCCTATTCGCGTGTTTACTGGTGTACACACATCTCAGTTTGGTCTCTTCTTTTTCCGTAATTCTTCGACTGCATAAAATTACATTTTAATCTAACTAATAATGCATATTAGCATAAATTCTAATAGAGATAAATAGTTGTAGTAACTGCAACGCCACAATAATTTTACTAAAACGTTACGTTCTGAGGTGGATACGGGTAAATAAAAATAAATGCAAGGGATGTCGGTCGATAAAGCAATAATATATAGCCAATTAAAATGCAGCATCACCACAATGCATAATTATAAATTGTACGCTTGTAAGCTCGCACTGTCCCTGTCGCCTACGCAAGAAACGAAAACAGTTCGCTAAAGATAGCATCAGAGAAAGATAAAGATGCAGACAGACAACAAAAGCAATAACAAAGTGCTCACACCAAAATAAAGCTGATTTCCTTCCTACACTCGCATTCATAGTACATACATATGTACATAAATGGATTTTATATTTGTGTCTCAACATAAATATCTAATATTGAGTACGAATTTGTCCAAGCACACATATGTATAGACACAGCTGCCGATTAAACAGTCACTTCTAATACAAATTTATGTAAGTACAACGTGCGACACACACATGCATGCATATAAACAATAACGGCGCGCACCTCCCCAACGTTCCTTCCTGTGATAATCAAATATAGTTTTCTACATACATACGCACATGTACATATGCGCTCTGATAAGAATATGAATAGGTCTGTAGTGGCCAGGCTAGGCCCTTATCAGGAATCTCTTAGAGCTTTGAGGCTGCTACGTATCGTTCTCATTTCATTGTCTTCAGATAGTCGCGCGCTTTTGAAAATTACAATCAGCAATTTACTGTTGCTCACGCACAGTGCCAATTTTTGTGAACGGTAAACTGCATAAAATGTGAAATTAATAGAGCAGTGAGGAAGATCATAATGGAAAGAGGGAGAATGAGCAAGCGACTGTAGTTTTTTTTTTCTGATTGCATTCGGAGCTTACATTCATTAATAATTAAGCGCGCATTTGTCTATGTTAGCCTCTGGACGAGCGCATACGGTACAATCAATGTGTCCACATCATGTACTTTTGACATTTAAAACAACACAACCACACATATGTACATATGTAAATACAAATAAGTACATTTAGCAACGACCGTCGCCCATGATTGTCAAAAATTAAGTGAATTTGAATTTTATCACACAGCACATCTGAAGATTCCCCCACAAATCGAGTATGTCCGACGGTGTCGGTGTACTGCACATCAAACAGGAGGTGGACACAAGCTCTGCTGGCGCCAGCAACTCCTGCTACAGTCCCAGCTCCAAGGCGCACAACACGTCTAGCAATAGTAATAACAGCAACAGCGGCATGAAGTCCTCACCTTCCGTTTCGCCCGAGCGTCAGCTCTGCAGCTCCACAACTTCACTTTCTTGCGATCTACACAATGTTTCGCTGAGCAACGATGGCGACAGCAGCAGTAAAGGAGGAGGAGGAGGAGGTGGTGGTGGTGGCGGAGGAGGTAGTAGCGGTGGCGGTGCTAATGGCAGTAGTAACAGTGCCAGTGCAGGTAGCGGTTCGGTGCGTGATGAACTTCGTCGCCTGTGCCTGGTATGCGGTGATGTAGCTTCCGGATTTCATTACGGCGTGGCCAGCTGTGAGGCTTGTAAGGCATTCTTTAAACGTACCATACAGGGCAATATTGAGTACACGTGTCCCGCCAACAACGAATGCGAGATAAATAAGCGACGCCGAAAGGCCTGCCAGGCATGTCGCTTTCAGAAATGTCTGCTCATGGGCATGCTGAAGGTTCGTGTACACCCTTTTCAGATTGATAACGAATGTTATTATTATGTAATACCTATATATTTACGTATCTTTCACAGGAGGGCGTGCGATTAGATCGAGTGCGTGGCGGAAGACAAAAATATCGACGGAATCCCGTATCTAATTCGTATCAGACCATGCAATTGCTTTATCAGTCAAGCACAACATCTCTGTGCGATGTCAAGATACTGGAGGTGCTCAATTCTTACGAGCCGGATGCCTTAAGTGTCCAACAGCAGCAACAACAACACAACACCGCTTGCAATGACGAGGCCTCATCGTCATCCTTGCAATCAACAACTGGAAGTGTCAAATTGGAGAACAGCGGTAGCAATGTTGGTGGAGGAGGCGCCAGAGGTGGATCGACCACACCCACCACACCTAATAGTACTTGCATTTTCCAAAACAACAACAACGATCCACATGAAATACTCAGCGTGCTGAGCGATCTCTATGACAAGGAACTGGTGAGCGTAATTGGCTGGGCAAAGCAAATACCAGGCTTCATAGATTTGCCACTTAACGATCAAATGAAGCTGCTACAGGTGTCGTGGGCAGAGATTTTAACGTTGCAGCTGACTTTCCGATCGCTTCCCTTTAACGGCAAGCTATGCTTTGCCACCGACGTCTGGATGGATGAACTGCTTGCCAAGGAATGTGGCTATACGGAATTCTATTATCACTGCGTGCAAATTGCTCAGCGCCTTGAGCGGATTTCGCCGCGACGTGAAGAATATTATTTGCTAAAGGCGTTACTGTTATCCAATTGTGATATCCTATTGGACGACCAGAGCTCCCTGCGCGCCTTTCGCGATACTATTCTCAACTCACTGAACGATGTCGTCTATTTACTGCGACACTCCTCCGCCGTGTCTCATCAGCAACAGCTGCTGCTCATCTTGCCCTCTCTCCGCCAGGCAGATGAGATTTTACGCCGCTTCTGGAGGGGTGTGGCCCGGGAGGAGGTGATCACGATGAAAAAGTTGTTTTTGGAGATGCTCGAGCCTTTGTCAAGGTGAAAGTGAAATGCATTTGGTGATGCAGTGGTAGCCAAGTACATATAGATTGTAGGTTTTGGTGCAAATATTGGTATAAGCTTACTTATAGTAACGATATACCATACATACTTAGTTGTAAGTTTGTTTGTACTATGTATTTATATTAAGTGCAAATGTGTAGTTCGTCTGGGTTATTGCGAAATGGGGTTCGGCTTAAATAGCAGGGAATCAAGCTGAAATAAACTAGTTCTATTTTTTATATAAACAACAATCTTTAAAACTATGCTATTTTTGTTTATTTCAGTTTTAACAGGCACATAGGTGCAAAGTCTGTCATTTGTTATAGAGGTACCAACAATTTTCCAATAAACGAAATGCGAATTTGATATTCAAAAAAATTATGTTAATCAGAAATCGTCCCTTTTCATATGCATAATGCATGCATGTGCAAAATATTTTTTAAGACAAGTTGCCATTTAATTATAATAATACTAGTTTCAGTTTGATTCCCCAGCTTATAAATTTACGTGCACGGATAAAATTGACCAATTCGCTCATATACCTCATAGTGCTTTCAATTTCTATTGGGTTGAAAGTGCAATAACAGGTGGCTATAAGTAACTAGCAATACATAGATTAGGTGGTATATAACTTCTAGGTACTATGTACTATATATAGACTTAATAGAAGATGAATTTAGTAAAAATACAGCTGCGGCATAATTCGCATTGAGTGTCTGAACACTGATTTATTTTAACTACCACACCATTCGACTATCACTACATGTAGTTTAAAAAGGCAAACACTAGCACAAGGTTTTGACCTAAACATAAAACATCTCTCTCATTACTTACTGCCTACAGATATAAAGTTGCACATATGTATGTATGTTGCTGGATACATGTATATGCAGGCTTCGAAGCCTATCACTACCCGAGAGTTTGGTTTACACAATTTGTTTCTGTGCTTTGGAGGCTTACGAATAGCATTATCGATGGTTATATTTACATTGCAGACTAGAGAAGTTTCCAATTCCAGAATTGGCTAACAGGCACACACGAATAAACATAAGTTAGATATTGGGTAGGATTGGTGATGGTTACGCACCACCTGTCGTATCCAAAAGTTGACGGCCCAGGCTGCGTTGCAAATCGGGCGATTCAAAGTACTTGTTAGAGCTCTCCTGATAACGATCACTGCGCATCAGCTCATTCCGAAAATAAGCGATGGTTTGCTGCAAACCTGTCTCTAGCGGCACTTTGGGCTCCCAATTGAGCCAGTTCTTGGCGCGTGTTATATCCGGTTTTCGTCGCTGCGGATCATCCTCCATAGCCTTAGTCTGCTGAAGTTTACTGTGTCCCCCCACAAGGCGTTTAATGATCTTTGCGAATTCCTCAATTGTCTGCTCTTGGGGATTGCCTAGATTTACCGGCTGTGAATAATTAGATGCCATGAGTGAAATAAGCCCATCGACCAGATCCGAAACATATTGAAACGATCGCGTCTGCTGGCCATTGCCATAAACTGTAATGGTTTCATTCCGTAGCGCTTGTAGTATGAAGTTCGACACAACACGACCATCGTTCATGTGCATCCGTGGACCATATGTATTGAATATACGAGCCACACGCACCTGCACTTTCTCCTGCAATGAACATAAATCTATTAGAAACATACATACTTATATGCATTAAAATTAAATTAAACACAGAAGAGAGCATGGTAGATATACCAAATAGATGCAAACATCATCGATTCTCTAGCATAATTTTATATCAAGACACGCTCAATATCCATTTCAGCATTTCATTGGAACATTTCGGGGTTTTTTTTTTATTCACTATGTTCTTCGAAATATTCATTTACGGTACTTGAACAAGAGTATTAAACAGACACGGAAAATATTGATTGATATTGGAAAATTGTAGTAGGAATATTTCTTGTCTACTCGTATTGACGAAATATTTTCTACAAATGTTGTATACTATGTATTTAGTAGATAAATGGGCCAAAGAAATTGACACAATTGGGTTACCATATTGTATCTTATCATACAGTATCGGATTATTTCGTTGTCAACTTGCTCGAGCATGTAAACTGGAGCAGATACTACATTTCAAAGAATGTTTGTTGATCAAACAGATTGTTAAGTGGAACGCGGAAAATTAAACAGAAAGTAAACGATATTGATTCATCCATAAATTGATCGCATTTTCTAATGCATCATTGCACATCCGTAAAGTTAATAATACATACAATCAAACTGGCATCCAGTTGGATGCTTTTGTGATGCCTACATAGAATATGAAACTTGAGTAAAAAATTTCTTCGGTTCTTTGTCCCGCTTACCTGTTTAGCGTATGCGTAACTGAGTGTTTCTGAGACTCGTTTTCCCTCATCGTAGCAAGCTCGCGGTCCAATAGGATTTACATGCCCCCAGTATGTTTCCGGCTGTGGATGTACTGTGGGATCACCATAAACCTCGGAGGTGCTGGCAATCAAAACTTTAGCCATAACCCGTTTGGCCAGACCCAACACATTAATGGTACCCATTGTATTGGTCTTAATCGTCTTTACCGGGTTATACATGTAGTGTGGAGGCGAGGCGGGTGAAGCCAAGTGATAGATCTCGTCGACCTCAATGAAAAGTGGATTCACAATATCGTGGTGAATGAGCTCGAAATTCTCGTGACCCAGCCAGTGTTCCACATTACGTTTGCGACCCGTAAAGAAGTTATCGACCACAATAACCTCGTGTCCTTGAATCATTAGATCATCAACCAAATGAGATCCAACAAATCCTGCACCACCCGTTATCAGGATGCGTTTGCGATTCTTGTAGTTAAGATACTTAACTTTTAGATACTTGCGTGGCGTACTCGCCTGAAGCGACCGTACTTGCTCCTCCAGCTTTGCTAGCTGATCCTTGGTACGTTGCAACTCCAGTTGTTGTGTCTGCAGTTCTAGTCGTTGTGCCTGTAACAGCGAGTTCTGCATTTCAAAGTTGATCCGGAGATTACGCTGATCTACGTTTTCGGTGGGTGGCCATGGCCTCTGTTCCTCAATTCGCACGACACTGCTGCCGAACCGGCTTGGAATTACCGCCGGTTCATTTACTGTTACAAGCGTTTTGTACAAATAAAGCAGCGCCACCATAAGCATCGCAAAGGCTGCTACTATTTTGATGCGCTTTTTTGTTCCGCTCATCATGTTGGTGTTGATGATAACGACGACAGAGCGCTTTTCAAAATAATACACTTACTGCTGCTTATCAGACAATAAGATGACAGCATTGCATTGTTTGTGTTGGAAGATCCACTATTTTTGTTTATCAAAAAAGAATCAACAACCAGACAGTGATGAAGCATCGATACTTGGCATAACAAAGACTGGCAACGCCAAGGGGGATAATGTTCTACTACGGCCACACTTCAATCCTACTATCATCAGTTTTTGACAGTCAGCTGCAGTGCAATTATTTCGCGAAACTTTACAATTGCCATTAAAATTTAATTTTTCACGAAATATAATAAAATATCAAATGCCGAACGAAAGTACGCCATCACCCACGTCCAAGGACGCTGATGAGAACATCGGTCAAGAAATTCAAGCTATAACTAAAGAGGTAGTGCGGGCATCAGACGAGATGCTTGCAAATGCCTTTGACGGCTTGAACGTGAATGTTGTCGCGCCTACAAAGGAAATGGCCAATACGCCGGGTGAATTACTGGCACACTTGAGTAAAAAACGGGATCAAGCTACACAGCAGGAGAACAATTTACTGCAGGTGTTGCAAGAATCTAAAACGAGTAAGTCAAATAACTTCTGAATGTGTGTAAATCTAAATGAGGTTAGGTTTTTGGTTCTGAGGTACCACCTAATTTGTTGGTTTTTATTAAACACTAAAACTAAAAATGCATTACTACATTGTCTACAATCGATTGTTTGTTTATTCCTTGTAGGCAAGCAGTTGCTGCTGCAGTCCAGCTCTGCCAATTCGCAACGCAAATTCTCTTTTTGGTCCACACAGCCGGTGCCAATGCTGGATGAAAAAATTGAAACTAATGAGTGCATCGAGCCGAACAAGGATGTTAATGAGATTCGATCCGAACCATACACCTTGCCTAATGGCTTCAAATGGGTCACCCTAGACCTTAACAATACCAGTGATCTAAAGGAGTTATATACGCTTCTAAATGAGAATTATGTGGAAGACGATGATGCTATGTTCCGCTTTGACTATCAGCCTGAGTTTTTGAAGTGGTCGCTACAGCCTCCTGGGTGGAAATCCGACTGGCATGTTGGAGTTCGTGTTGAGCGATCTGGAAAGCTGGTCGGATTCATTTCGGCCATTCCCAGCAAACTGCGAGCATATGACAAAGTGATCAGTGTGGTGGATATAAACTTTTTGTGTGTGCACAAGAAGCTGCGTAGCAAGCGGGTCACTCCAGTGCTGATACGTGAAATAACACGACGTGTAAATTCAACGGGCATCTTTCAGGCAGCGTACACTGCTGGCGTTGTGTTACCCACGCCAGTATCAACATGCCGCTATTGGCATCGCTCCCTCAATCCCAAAAAGCTTGTCGATGTTCGTTTCTCGCATTTAGCCCGCAATATGACAATGCAGCGCACTGTCAAGCTGTACAGACTCCCTGATCAAACCAAGACCAAAGGCTATCGCCGCATTCAGCCAAAAGATATGGAAAAAGCACACAAGCTGCTCGATAATTACCTGAAAAAGTTCTCGCTGTGCCCTGTATTTAATGAGGAAGAGTTCCGTCATTGGTTCACTCCCCGAGATGGTATAGTTGATTGCTTTGTCGTGGTTGACGACAAAGGCAACATTACAGATTTGACCAGTTATTACTGCTTGCCTTCGTCTGTGATGCATCATCCAGTGCACAAGACTGTGCGTGCTGCGTATTCTTTCTATAATGTGTCCACCAAGACGCCTTGGTTAGAATTGATGAACGATGCTCTCATATCGGCGCGTAATGTCGACATGGACGTATACAACGCTCTCGATCTCATGGATAACAAGCAATTCTTAATGCCATTGAAGTTCGGTGCTGGCGATGGTAACCTACAGTACTATTTATATAATTGGCGTTGCCCCGCCATGCAACCTGAGAACATTGCACTGATCCTTATGTAGACGCGGGTGTTGGAGCTTATAGAATGCGGGTTTTTCAACACCAACTACATAATCGCACCAATGCATAGGAATATTACATACGCATATACAAAGTCGACAGAGAAGCTCGGCTCACAATTGTCTAAGTCCCCATTCAAAGTCTAACTTTAGTTATTAACACTAGTATTTGCAACATGGTGCGTACGCTCAGCTTCTTGCATTTTATTCCTCGTGTATGTGATTTACACGTCCCTCCTCCACAAACATTCACATTACCCCCATAGAAAACACATTTATAAAAGTTTGTTTTGTAAGAATATTGTTAACCCTGAATGTTGCATTTTATGAATCGCTTTGCTTGGATATTTTTATAAATTAAAATCAATAAAACCGGCGGCAACGGTGGAGATCGATTTTATCATTACTTTTATTTCTGAATGCCAAGTAAACACAAATAAAAATTAGGTGTTCAATAGTTGTATATCGTTACAGAAACGACCGCCATAACACTAAGGTCTGGCAACGCTTTTACTTTGCTAAAAGGCGCGCGTTCCTATAATTTAATTTATCTTGAAAATTAAACTGATAAGAGTAATTTTTATTACGTTCGGTTATTATGATGTACAATTAAAGTTTTAATTTATCTCATTTAAATCTCTGTACTCTGACACATTCATGGATTTGGGTATAGATAACATTCTCAATTGAATCTTCAGTTGTGGAAAGTTTTTTTAACTTCATATTTTGCTGCAGTCTAGATCGAACATTTTTATTTTATCTTAAAGTAACAAGAAAATTAAATTTAATCAAATAAAAATTCACATAAGTAACGCGATCGTTTTGGAGATTTCGATAACAATTATTTGGCTACAATCGAGAATTTTGTATGTTATTTGGCAAAAAGCGCGGCGTTTGCATTTTCGGTACACTTAGGTTAAATGTAGTGTAAATAAATTAATAAATTTAAGAGCCACAACCGCAATGGACAACAACGATTCAATTTTTAAAGAAAAATATCAAAAATACAAATTGCGCGTAAAGGTATGGGAGAAAGACTTCAAGAAAAAACGCGGGCGTGTGCCCTCCAAGGTGAGTTGGACAATATAAGAAGCCAAGGAAATACAAATACATTGAAATACTTTTAGTACGATATACGCGAAGCCCCGCAGGAGATTCGCGACTCCTACAAAATGTACTACAAGCTTAAGACCTCATTTCTAGAGGAGACACTGAACGACGTGCTCAGCGAGGATGGGTTTGATGTGCTAGAAATGTCGCAGGCAGACGATCTCGGCGTTATGCCATTGACCGAAACTAGCTTTACATCGGAGAGTGTTAATGGTGGCCCACAACTTCCTTTTGACATATCCGCACTCGTTAATCAGAGAAGCAGCGACAACTTTTCAAACCTCAATGAATTGCCTACACCTCACGCCCACACAAATCTGATGAATCAAGATGAGAACCACGTTATACGTAACTTCGAAGCCGTCGATGAATTAGCACAGAATAAAAGCGCCTGGGGTGAAGAAGTTAGCAAGCAGAAGCCAATGGTTAAGTCAACGATGGAAACGGGTCATCGTCTAGTCGGCATAAAGTCCAATCTTAGTGCCAAGTTGTTTCAGCCAGGCCGGAGCTTTGCCAAGCGGAATCCTCGAAAGCCATTGTCACGCAATACAATCACTGTAGGTGTGGCTGGAAAGGATTCTGGTGTTGGTCCGGACGAGATGATCGACCAGCTTCCTGATCTGGAAACAATACTCAAACGCAAAGCCGAAGAATATAAGGCTACAATAGCAGCCAATCCTCTCATGGATGGAGATCTTGGAAAGGATGTCATCAAAACTCACGTAGATGAGGGTTGGTTGCAGCGCACCACAGCGCAAAATGCCTTGGAAAAATACCCTCCGCCGGTAAAGGACGAATCTAACAACAATTCCATGAAAAATACGACACCGTCATTGGCTAAGAAACATAACTACGGTCTAAATAATATAGATATCACTAAGCTACAGCTTCCAATCCCACCTAAAGTGGATCAACAGCCTATACCAAGACCCATACCTACAGATAATGTATTGCCTGAAAGTGATGAAAAAAAGAATGAAATGATGCATGAAAACGCTTATGATTCAGAATCCGACTCTGTTGTGGACGATAGCGATGGCGGCGAAACACAAGAGCCGCAGTATAGACATATCGCCAAGAGACGAAGAGTTATCCCCACAACATCACAAACAGAAGATGTTGCTGATAAGCCAGCTGAAATCGCCCCATATGAGGAGAATGAAGAGGAAATGGGCAAAGATTTCTCTGCCGACGAGGAACTTGATGCCAACTATGAGCCCGAACTGCCGAAACATAAGCGCAAGAAGGCGATAGCCAAGCGTCAAACGGCAACAGAGAGAAAGGTAGAAAAATCGCGCGAACCAAAAGTGAAGGGTGAATCGTTACGGAAGAAGAGAGCAGCCACCGCCACGGTTTCTAAAACTAGGGTCAAAACCGGTAAAGCTCTGGCCGCACCCATTAAGAACACAAAAACAAATTCCAAAGTCGAACCAGGAGCGACTACTGCTGTTGAAGCCGAGAACGAACCGCTAGAGGAACAACCACTTAATCCTGAAGATCTCAAATACGTCCTGGCATTGGAGGCAGGTGATATCACCTCAGTGCCGCGTATCAAACTTGCTGAGCTGGAACAGGTCGATGCAACAGCGCAGCGTTACATAAGCAATTTCGCTGCACCGTCCACTACCGCACAAATAGTAGACGGGAAGATCGATGAAAAACGCGTGGCGGCTCGGAAGAAATTGGAGGAGAAAATTGCCTCCGGCAAATTAAATGAGAATTATGTGACCATCAACATACAGAAGAAAAAATTTGCGCGCGGAAAAAAACACGCGAGCTACAGCAAGTACAAAAAACAACAGTGGAAGCACAAGAAGCGGGTGGCAGCGCTCTCTGGACCAGATATGGATATGGGCGGTTGTGATGGTGGTGTCTTGACCTGTTTTAACTGTGGGGGCGTGGGCCATTTTGCGCAACAATGCAAGGTAAAGGGCGACGCCCTACTGCCGCTCAGTGCACAAATTGAAGAGGATCCCTCGCCATTTCCCACGCTTGCCGAAGCGGAAGCGATGGCCACTCAAGGCGCGGTGGCAGCGCATAGTCGCAACATTGCGAATATGCCGCAAGCAGCAAATGCTGCAATTTATCAACAGGGGAGCAGTGAAAGTAATGACGAAGACACTACAGGCGAACAAGAATCTGACGCTAGTATTGAGAAGCATAGCAACATCAATTTATCCGAAGATGAGGAGCACGTTTTAGACATAGACTTTGAAGCGATGGACGCGGCGGTGGCAGAAAGTTCCCAGCCAGCGAAACAAACTTCGCCCATTAAGGAATACGTTGGTCACAAAATACCCGAAGAATTTCTGAAAAAAGCAGGCCTGGACATCGGAAGTGCAAATGCTTCAATACGTGGCGGGCAGGGAAGTGGTGTCAATCCACTATATGAGCTAAATGCGAATGGCGAAGTGCGCGACGTAACACCAGAAGTAATGGAGGCGCTTCATATGTTCGGACACAGTAATTTTCGCAAGGGTAAGCAATATCTTCAGTCATAATTTTCTAGCACATATTAATACTTTGCTGCTCCTTACAAACCATTTGATAAAGCCACGCTTATTAAGGCACTTTGACGTGACATACTCGTACCAATAACTTTTCCAAAACATCTACAGAACTACCAATCAACAGTGAGAACTGTAGTTGTATATTAATAATCAACACATTCATTATTCAATTGCCAGGTCAGGACCGAGCTGTTATGCGCATATTATCTGGTCTCTCCACGCTGGTTACTTTGAGCACGGGTAGTGGAAAATCGCTGTGCTACCAACTGCCCGCCTATCTATACAGTCGTCAGCAACGCGCTATTACGCTAGTTATTTCACCATTGGTCTCGCTAATGGAGGATCAGGTGACGGGCGTACCACATTTTCTACGGGCTCACTGCCTGCACACCAATCAGACGCCGCAGCAACGCCTAAAGATTCAGCAACTGATAGCCGATGGTGAGATTGACATACTACTTGTATCCCCCGAGGCTGTAGTCTCGGGTGAGCGCGCCACTGGCTTTGGTGCTATTCTGCGACAGCTTCCACCCATTGCATTTGCCTGCATTGATGAGGCCCATTGTGTGTCTCAGTGGAGTCATAACTTTCGTCCTAGTTATTTGATGATTTGCAAAGTGCTTAAGAAAAATTTGGGGGTGCAAACCGTCCTAGGACTAACGGCCACAGCTACTTTACCGACCCGCGTCAGCATCATTAACCATTTGGGCATAACAGATGGAGAGCGTGGCATTATCAGCGACATACCCCTACCAGACAACCTAATCCTGTCCGTATCCAAAGATGAGAATCGGGATTCCGCGTTGCTCCAATTGCTGAACAGTCCCAGGTGAGTGATTAATGTAACTTACTCCCAATTTTACTTAATAGTAGGTTACTTGCCACAGTTATAAGCAACATTACCTTTTATTACGGAATTAATTAACAGTGATCGATATACATACATACATATGTACAAGTAGTATTGTTAGTTTTCAAAATTAAAATTAGGGTTACGTAATATCGTAAAAATGTACTAATATACTATTTTCTCGATAAGGGGTATGTGGCATCGCGATATCGTGAATTTTTAGAAGTTGTGGGATTAAAATTATGACATAATACGGAACGTACAACTTAACAATTTAAGTTAACCATTCGAACCAGAAATACGTGATATATGACCAAGAGCTCCCCTCCTAATACAATATTTTCAATATTTACAACTATTATGATTTTCCCTGCAGATTCGAGCCTTGCCAGTCTATTATAATCTATTGCACGCGTCGTGATGAATGCGAACGCATTGCTGGTTTCATCCGAACATGTTTGCAGGAGCGCAAGACCAATTTGGAACCACAACAGGGAAAGAAGAAACGCAAGCGAGTTAACTGGCAGGCTGAGCCTTACCATGCCGGAATGCCAGCATCGCGTCGTCGTACCGTACAAAACGCATTCATGGCCAATGAGCTACGCATAGTGGTGGCTACCATTGCCTTTGGTATGGGCATTAACAAACCAGATATTCGAGCTGTCATTCACTACAATATGCCTCGAAATTTTGAGAGCTATGTGCAGGAAATCGGACGCGCTGGCCGTGATGGATTGCCCTCGCATTGTCATCTGTTCCTCGATGCAAAGGGTGGAGACCAGAGCGAACTACGCCGTCATGTCTATGCCAATTCCATTGATCGACATGTCATACGAAAGTTGCTACAGCGCATTTTTGTGCCCTGTTCCTGTGACAAGCAGGCGACAGCAGGAACTTCTACAGCCAGCAAAGAGCAAGAAATGGATCCCGTCGATGCAAACGATCTAAGCGAAAGTACAATAGTAAGGCCACACATTTGTCCGGGCCATGAAATTGGATTCTCTGTGGAGAAAACTGTCGAAGCATTAGACATACCGGCTGAAAATATCTCGACTCTGCTGTGCTACATGGAGTTGGATCCACGCTGGTGCATGAATGTGCTCAGCTCAGCTTACATAATGGCTAAAGTTATTTCATATGGCGGTCCCAAATATCTCAAGTAAGCAAAACAGTAATTTTAAGTCCTAAACGTATTTTATTGAACGTACTGTTATCTGTATTTTTACAAATAGGCATGCTGCGAAGGAGTGTCCACCTCTAGCCATGGCCATTGCCCTACAGATTAAACAAAAAACCTTTAAGGAAGACTCTAACATAATAGAGTTCTCGGTAGTTGATATTGCTGCTGGCATTGGCTGGAACAGTGGTGTAGTGAAGTACCAACTAAAAAACTTGGAATGGGTTCAAGGTGAGAATTGGAAGGTGCTTCACACCGAAAGTACTTCAGAACCTAAATTCGTTTCCTTTCAGTCAACGGTTTTCCAAAACGATCACCTCTCACTGTCAGCTTTTACGATCTCGGCTTTCGAATTAAGGCGCCTGGTGATTTCAGCGAAACAGAAATCGATGCTGCTCTGGACACGCTCTACACACGCTCTGTCAAACAGGAACGCACCCAACTTATTCAACTACAATATGTAGCTCATGGTCTCTCGGCTGTGGCATATACGACGTGCACCCATTGCTGTAGTGCTGATTTTCCGCAGGACCGCTGTACCCAATTGAAGGCTATCATTCGCAATTACTTTCGCAATGATTATCCACAGGACTTGGAGCTGGAAATTGAGGTATTGTATGAGTTAGCTACAAATAAATAAGTTCATTAATTTTTAGGGAATTATGCTAAAATTATTACATCACAGATAAAATTTAATGTATGTTTAATTTATTTACAGCCAAGCAATGTTCCGGATGAGCACATTATTGCTGATGTTCACGCTCTGATCAACATGTATCCTGATAATAACTTTAGTGGACGTACAATTGCGCGCATTTTCCATGGCATACCCAGCCCCAACTATCCAGCTGTAATGTGGGGACGCTGCAAGTATTGGCGTGCCCATACAAAGATCGATTTTAATCGTGTAGTGCAGTTGGCGAATTTAGAAATTGTCAAGAGGCGAATGTGATCAATTTTAATGTATCTTTCTCTGTTGTTCGTATGATTAGTTGAAAATATGTAAGTAAAAGTGCTTCTTATCAAATAAATTTAATTTAATATAACACAGAAAAGAGATTGTATTTATGATCAAATTGGATCAACAGTCGTCGTCTATATTAAAATTAAAAAATTTGTGTCTTATTTTTCCAGTTGGGCGACCGCTAAATAATGACAACAACTTTGTCTATATGCAATTTGGATCCAACATATTTTATGTTATTCATTTATTATATATAAAAAATAACTTGCTAAAACTACCGTTACTATGAGTTAAATCTAATGTGATCAAACGAATTTTGTATTATAGGAACTTATTTGTTGAATAAGATTCTTAACGGCGGCATAATTTCGAATCTTATATACAAAATTTACTGACAACAATGAATGACTGAATGTATCGATGACTTAGTAACAATCGAATGTCATCACAGCATCAACACTCGCAGTCTACTCGCTTCTTTTCGTACAACAGCGAGTACATCAAACAGCTGACAGTTTGCAGACGAGTCGCAGAAAGTATGTGTGTGAAAGAGGCCGCTATATGTGGGTGCGAGCGTGCTACTATCGCTATAAATATGTGTGTATGAATATGTGCTGCCTTCATGCACTCTCGCAGTCGATTCGAAAATTTTGCTGAAAAAAGTTGTTAGCGGTTGATGTTGCTCGTCGCGAATGTATTTCAAGTGCGAAGTTAATAAATAAAATTGGTAATGCATATAAAAATATGAAATTAATTAGCATAATTTGAAACCAGACGATTGCTAAAGCTGCAAGTAAAGTCATATTCTGTGTGAGACATATTGATAAACGTGAAGAATGAGTGTCCCGTGGCCTTAGTTATTGTTGTTTAGTATGCAAATTTGACAAGTTTGGAAAGAGGAACACTGCGTGCGATAGTCGTGTGTGAAGTTGTGTGTGTGTGTGTGTGGGTAATTAAGATGTTAATTGTAACAACCTTGCTCTACTCGTCACCCAATCCCCTCACGTGCAGGCATTTCAGAAGATGAGGTGTGCATTTTGCTGCGCATTTCTTTGACATTTTTATGCACTAGCTTCCTTGTGAGCTGGCAACTCGGCCTCTGCTAACTCAAATACGCAAATACATATTTATCAATGCGATATATTTTGTATTTAAGTATTGTCTCAATAACTTTTTGCACGCGTTACTAAAGCAGGGAACGTCGACGACTGTCGTTTCGTGCAAAGTTTTTTTTTTATCAGAGCGCGCTCCCCAACACCGAAGTCTGCGGCCTCACACACACCAACACCCAAGGAACCCACATACGCGCACACAACATTCGCATACAGACATAAACACACGTACTATTGCAGCTGATCGCTCGCAAAATTGTAAACTGTTTGCAATTGTTTTTTGTAATTTGTCTACAATTTAATGTACTTCGTTTTTTCGTGCCGTATATGAGTGAAATTTCAGTAATGATAAAAGTGCAGTGTTAATACTTACATACATAAATAAAAATTACAATTTGTTTTATTAGAAATCAAAATCGTTGTTGCTATCCTGCCGCCAAGGCGTACACATTTAAACGCCAGTGCACCTTAAGCCGATAAAGCGTCGTTCCAGCAGATTCACATTTTGGTAAGTCACATTTAGCATAATAACCTAGAAAGGGATACGGCAACAACAATAGGCAAAAAATTGCAATGGGGCTGACTGTAACTTTTGGTATCCTCAAATCAGAGACAGGTAGAAAGCCAAAGAAAAGTGAAAAAGATTGGCAAACACAAACAAGAACAACATAAGAGAAAAGATAAGAAGAAGACTAGGATTTAGACAGTCAGTCAGTTTGGTAGTTGACAAACAAAAACAGACATACTCGTAAATACGAAAATCGTTGTGAGAAGCATGGTGGGAAAAGGTAAGAGAAACCTGTACCTGTGCGAACATGTTTAAGAACTTAGCGTCGTTTACCTCTTGCCGCCCATTGTTAGGTCAGCGAACCTGTGCACAGCTCACGCCCATTCAGAAGAGGTTTCCTGAGTTGCAGGCAACGATGGGAAATACACACACTCTCAGACATAAATACATACATACATACATACCATATGTACATACCAATGTGCTCAATACCGAATGCTTCATTATATATTGTTGACATCAATATGGACCAATAAAAAATAAATATTGTGTTGAGAATTGTAGGTCTTTAAACTGGATTGGATTTGCTTTTACTCGCAGAGCTGGGTAATTTACCATTTGCTTTAATGTTATTTAATTTGTTTTGATCGGCATCGGATTTTTCTGCATAATTTTATTTTGTTTTTCCTTCTTTGCCGGTACACTAACCGGTTTTCCGATCTTCCGAGCTTAACGCACTCACTATAAATACATTCATAAACAGTCACATATAGTATAAAATATTGTAACCATTTTTATCTGAAGTGATTCTGAGTCAGACTGTGTTATTCGTAGATGTTCTTTATGGGGTTTTTTTTGCGGTTAACTTTGACTCATTTTCCACTTATTGTAATAAAGCACTTTCAGACAAAGGGATTTCATTCAGCTATCTTCAGCTATTTTGAAAGCGTTCGATATAGTCGAAATCAAAACTTCGCTAATTTTATGTAATTTTTTGGTGCATCTATAAATATAATATTTTTTTATGTATCAGCAGAGTGTTTTTTATTTAAAACTGTCCATCGTGGACAATCATCAAACTTGTTAAATAAACTTAACGATTAATTATTTCATATATAAATATAATAAAACAAAAGGGTTAGACAAAGCGAAGCAGCTTTAAAACCATGTGCATTGCTGAGTTATTCATTCATGATATGAAGTTACTTATCTAATAGCCATGCTTATAAATAGGCTTATATTTATGATTTAATATAATTTTATGAAAAAACAAATATATGAGAGAGGGTCCAAATCTTGATAAGAGACATCAAGAGTCAAGTGCTACAGAAGGAGGAATAACTTTGAGGTAGCGTTTTGACACTCAGACCAAGCAAAGTTTTCGAGAATTATTCAGGAATTCTAAGAACTATACAATTCACAAATCCGATCCGCTCAGATGCTAATTACACAAATATCTGATATATTAACATACATACATACATACAAATGTACATACATATGTAGATATTTATGAGCAAATCCAGTTTGATGATATCTAACCGCCTATCTATTCCGTTCGCCGACATCAGCTCCTACTTTAATTCGATTAAATGCCACACTTTTCTAACCCACTTCCTCTCCACCGCCGCCTCTTCCTATTTCATATTTTTTTGTGCACCCAAGCGCTTACATTTTTCGCTTCTTCGGCGCCCGACACGCCAATTTCATTTCATCAGCACAATTGGGTGACATCGAGTGCAAAAAATCAATATGTGTTAATTTAATTTCGCGTCAAATGAGTTAAAGAGGCAAACTCAGCCAGTCAGTCAGCCGCCTGAATATGAACGGCACAGTGATTTCTTTTGTTAGCTTTTCCTATAAATATTTGAGCAGCTTTAATATTTAATTTCAAATAGTGCGGACAACAATCCTGGTTGTGGCTGTTGTTCTTGTGGCCGTTCCATTTTCCGCGGCAATGCCAAATGGGAAAAACTAGGCTATGTTTGTTTGCCCAACTACACGCAATCAGGCCATAAAGTCGTCTTTGTGGCGTTGGATTTACGAGTGTGACTAAAACTAAGTAGGTTTCTGCAATTACTTAAATAAGTTGCCAGATAAGCAAATCGGCGCGATAAGAACAATAATCGCTTATGGTCTGCCCCGCTACGTTCTGCCCGCAGTTTCATGCAGATAGCATACATATGTATGTGCGTGGCCCAGTTTCGATGTGTCTATGAAAATCAATTATATTCAATTTTGGAACTCAATGATATTTGAAAACTTCTCATAGACGACGAAGTGATAAATTAAATCAGCACAACTCAAAATTACAATATTTTTTGTTATGACACTTGAATGACTATAAATTACTTTTTCAGAGTTTGCCATAGAACAATAACAACATCAATAGTAAAAACAACAACAAAAGTAACAATAACTCCCCGCCTCACTTTACAAATAACGAAATGGGAATTGGGCCACAGGTATTATCAGCGACGCACTGTGGGTCGGACAGAGAAATATGTGGCAAAATTACAAAAGATTGAACAGTTTCAAGAAACTTTTTCAAATGAAACACTCATTAAATGACTGAAAATTTGGTTTTATTATTATTATTAAAAGTCGTATGCGATGTAAAATATACATACGCGCAGTAGGAAAAGATTCAGCACGGTGGGCTTAACCTAAGATAGATATCAAAATAAAACTTCTACTACTATTAATAATTTTTTGGAATTTGTGAATTATACAAATATTATTGCATGTTTGCTTATGTATAACAAATCAGTAACATTATATATAGATATATAAATGTTTTTGCTTTTTTTAATTAATGGCTTAAATTAAGTGGTAAATATTGCCTTCTTTCAAAACTTTGAAAAGTAATTGAATTGTGGGCATAAAGTAAGATGTATCACTTAGAGTGGGGTGGGTTTTATCAAGACGTTATTACATAGAATTTCTTGAAATTAAATCTATATTCCGTTCCTACAAAGAAGATCTGCAGTCATATTCATATTCCATTTCCAAATAATTGTATATGAGTGTTCTTAAGGTATTGGTGGTGCTACATTTTTGTACATATACTATGTGATCTGTAAAAAATAAATTATGAATAAATTAAGCTGCTACGATAGGTACCGATTTTTGTACAATAATAAGCCATTTGGAATTACTGCGACATTGGAAAAAATTCACTTAAAGTCAATCTGTTCGTCAGTCACTCTTCCCTTTCCCCCGCTGTCTCCGTCTCTGGCGCCCTCCTTCTCTATGTGTGCAATTCGCCATGCACGCTGTTGATGGTTGTTGTTGGAAAATGAAACGTGCACAAAATTTGAATAAATAAATCAAACTGTGGGTTGCCTGGCGGCTCGTATTATTGTAGTAGCTGCAAATATAAGCAGCAATAAAAAGAAGAGGCAACACCCACTGGCGCACCGCCACCCACAGCCACATTTGCCACAAAGGTGCAGCGCCCCATAAAAACCCTTTCATTGTGTGTGTGTGTGTGTGTGTGTGTCTGTCTGTATGTGTTTGTCGCCTCCATTGTGTGTGCGCGCTCGCTTGCTTTGTAGCTCGTTTCCTTCCTGCTGCGCTTTACCTTTGCATTTTTTTGTGTCAGCTGCCCCATTCACCGCCCTTTCCTGCGCCCAACTTGTGTGGGGCTTTCCTAGGGCTGACAGGTAAAAAGCAGGTTAATCGTCGCGCAATTCGCTTTCAGCTGAAAAATAGTTGCCGGGCATTATTTCTGCAAATGGCAATGGCAATTTTCAGAGGCTCTTATGCGACTACAGCGAAATGCAATTTGGCAATTAAAATAATTATTTCTCGCTTTTCTTCATATCTCTATTATTTCCAAATGCAAGAAAATTTTAATCGATCTTGCTTTAATTTTATTTATTTACTATATACCAATGAAATAGGTATATTGTGTTTGAAACGCTCCTTAGAGTCTTGTGCTCGTAAACGAACAGAACGCTTGCTACTTGTTCCTATTTGCACATCGTGTGGTATTGTGTACGGTTTTAAATTAAAATTATAATTTATTGTTTGTACCTGTATCGTTTATTCATACATACATATAAAGCCGAGCTGTGCGTAGATTCGTGTGTGCTTGTAAGAAAATAACCGTTAACCGTTAGTTTCGACTAGGAAAAACTTTAAAATTTTGGGAAAATGCTACGAAAATTTTAAGCAAGTATCGCTATCATAAAGTAGTTCATCTTTCTTTAACTTTTAAAATAAATTAAATTCTGAAGATAAATTACTAAATTTATTTTAAATTTATGTTACATCTCAGCGAAGAAGCTTATTGTCAAAGCGAATCAATTTGCAGGGTACACCTTTCAGATTAGTTGTTATGCCGCGAATTTTCGCCTATATGCCTATCAAAAGATCCAAACATAGCACAAAAATGGTAGACACCAATGCCCAGTTTAGGAAAGGTTTAGCACACCTTATCAGAGTTCCCACATGTTGTATTAACTAACTACATTGTCCATATACGTAAACCTCCATATCTTAATGCTAGAAAATACTTTTTCTAAGCATGTTGGCGCTTGTTATCGCTTTGCCTAGTTAGAATTTCTTATCGCCAGAAATGTGACGCGGTCCGACAACGACCACAATGTGTTGGTTTCTTGCTGATGCTTTCCCTCAAATATGTGCCACAATGTGTGGACAGGCGAAAACTTTGTTGGCTGGCCTGCAACACGCGGGCATGTGGTAAAGTTTTCCCATCAAAAGACTCGCATATGGCATATGAAAGTATATGTATGTATATGCTACATACAAATTTATGTGGAAGGTAACCCTTCTAATGGTAGTTTCTAGACTCGAATGTACATACATATTTACTTGTATATCTTTATATACGGACGCACAAGGCAATTTAATAATATGACCTAGAATATAGTAACCCAGTTATTTGACCAATTGTTGTTGCGCTTATGTGCAAGTGTATAAGCATATATGTATATGTAGATGTGTGAGCCATCCATGCAGCAGTTGCCAACATT